AGTAAGCATGGCTGTGTGTGCCTGTGCTTCTCATGTCAATTTCCATCCTTTTACCAATCCATTCTGTAATCAGCCTAGAGAGTATGGATCTGTTAGGTCTTACCTCATTGCGAATTGCAAAGAAAGCATAAAGGTGCTACTGTTTGGAAGCCATTACTTCCACACTTTGGATGCAGTGGAAAGCATGATGCCCTCTACCCGTGGAAGACACAGGAGACAGCAAGAGGCCCACTCAGGCCTGTTTCCATCAACATGTGCTCCAGTTCACCACTGTGCCCCCAATACATGAACTTTGCAACTGCATGAATGCTAGCTAGCTTACAGAATAACAAGAACACAACATGGAGATGGCAACTTCATTTCCAGTGTCACAGAAAAACAGAAAGGGCCTAAACACAACCCTGATGAGCCTTATTTTCCTGAAAGAAGTAAGTCTGAACACATCAAAAGATGGAAACAAAAAAAGGAAAACAATTTCTGAGAGCCCTGCGCTTCACACAGCACTGCTTCCCAAAGCGCCCATTTCTTGCCTGGATCCTATGCTCGGAAATTAAGGCCTTCAACGAATCTCTTACCAAGGTACAATCAACGGCTCACTAATAAGAATACCATTCATATTTACATGATATTTTTCTTTCAAAGACCTTAAGGCATTCCACATATTATTACAATTACTTTATTAACAGTCTTGGGGAAAAGTGTGTTACCTGCTGGGAAAATGGCCCACTAATAACAGAACAGCTGACATTTATTGGGTACTTCTGGTGTGCCAGACAGTTCTGTAAGCACTTTTCATTTAATCCTCACAGAAACCCTATGGGGGCAGCTTCTATTATTATACCTATAACAGATGAGAATACTGAAGCTTATAAATATTATAGGATTTTCAAAGTCATCAAGCAGTGAAGTGACTGAGCCAGGCTCAAAAATGGGCCACTGGACCATTCCACAGTATGTGCTAAGAGCATACAGGAAGGACTCTCCCAAGTGAAACCCTCAGAGCGTCTTCCAGTCAGTGGCTGCTGCGTCTGGTACCCAGATCTCAGGCTGCATTTTTCCTTCCAGTTCTGAACATCCCTCATGAGAAACTACATCCCATTCGCTCGTTCATCAACTCACAAACCTCATTTAAAAGTCAAAAAAATCTATGTATGGATATAACTATAAAGATAGATGAAGGTGACTTTATTAATGTCGATATTAATTAAAAATGCATTTTGTTCTACATAATCTACCACTACCTAAAGCAGAATTTTTTCAGACTTTCTTGACTGAGATTAATAGCAATGGACTTTAACACCATGGTCCAGTAAAGTTTATACACACATCTCTAACCCACACACTCACTCCTGGAAGAAATGTGATAGCTTAAAAAACTCTCATTTAAAATTTACATTACCTCTACTTCTCCCATCTGAGTGAAAAACCAAACAAAAAAAGGAGGGGGGAGGGAATCAAATCAACAAAAGAATTCTGCCATAGAACAGCTCAACCATCAAGCTCTCCATATAGCATTATCAAGACATATTCATATGTGCATAATTTTGATTTCTGCCTTTTAAAAAGTTGCCAAATGTCAGAAGCAATGTGACGTTTATTACAGAATTGTAGCACTTGTCTCAAACTAGAATTAAGTTACATATAATTTATGAGAATTCAGTATAATGTCTGGTGTTTGAAAAACAAAGTCAAAACAAAAAAGTAAATGCTTTGGCTAAAATAGAAAATGTTGCCTAAAAAAACAAGCATGCCTTACTCGATTGACATAATACAGCAACAGTCAAATTAATGTTTTTTGGTGTGGACCTATGTTGCTAAAAAGCTCAAGTTCAATCCAAAGTTTAAGTCCCAAGTTGAATACACCGAGTGGTAAAAATACTAATGGGGACGGAGGCAAGAGAGAGCCAAAGGGGTGGTCTGAAATAAGAAAGCCCAATCCCAGCCCATCCACCCCATGGTTGCACTTGGAGGCCAGTCTCCTGGTCACCAGATGCCATGCCGTGCACACAGCAGCCTTCTGACTTTGAATCACTGAGATAATTTCAATCATATTAAGCAAATGATATTTTTCAAGCAGGGCCCTTTGTATGGTTCAATGCAATCAGGCTCAGATGATGCGTCCAGGAAATCCCTTTTTGGCAGCCTCTCATTCCCCACTGTGGCAGTTTGGAAACTTTTCTCCCTGTCCTGTCTCAGAGGAATAATTGTCCCTTCTGCCCCACAGCTTGGGCTTAGCCCACCCCGACGGCCGCCTCTGAGATGCTGCTCTAGAAAGCATCCCTTCTCTCCTCTTGCCTTCAAAAGCAACAAGACTTCTCCCCTGCCCCCATCCCACAATAATTTCATTCACCTTTCTCGAATCCTGAGCGGGGGGACCTTCCTTCCATACAGCTCCTAGACCCTTTATTTTCCCAGCTGCTCTCCCTTTTGAGAGCCTGAAAGCTGGTTTCCATCCCTTCATTTCTAAAATCCTGTTCCTGGATACATTTAATGTACACCAGCCCCCCCCCCCCCCCCCCCGCCCCACGCAACCAGAGATATTGGAAGAATGTCACGGTGAGGAGGTCAGGGTTGCAGGGCCTTTCTGGTCCTGAAATCCACAGGCTGCTTCTCAGCTCTCCCTTTGCCTTGGCCTTCTGAGGCACGTGACAGCTGCAACCACACCAGGAAACCCCTCTCACTTCCGCGCTCTGTAAGGCACACACAACAGATGCCCCTCACCTCTCTAAGCTCTCTCTTCTGGCTCCCAGCTTGCCAATGTTCTGGTCTGGGATTTCTCTAGCACACATGAGGTTAGTTAACCTAAGATCCACAGCAGTGCTGCAGAGGGGCCAGGAGTCCCCTAAAACGTCTTGTTTTGTACACAAGTGCTCTTTTCAGGGGAGGAGAGAATACATTCACATTACCAGGTTACCACCAGAGTCCAGGACTTCCAAACCTGGAATCTGCACATACTGACTCCTTCTTCAGGGTCAGGTCTTTGGTGACCCACCAAAAATTTTTATCACAATACAGTACACATCCAAAACAGAACTCATAGTTTCTCGCCAGCCTCCTTTTCTCACTTCCCTATGCTGTCAACAGCACCCCACCCTTCCCAACTCAAGTCCCAAAGCTGAAAGTGAAGGCTACTTAACCTTCTCTACTCTCCTGCCCATGGCCGCCTGAGTCCCCTTTCTACGCAGACCACGTACATTCTGGATCAGGATGTGTAGACCTCTTGTCTGGCCCTCTGCTGCCTCTCCTGGCTTCACTAGCTCTCCTCTCTCATCTGTTCTACACACACTCTCCTCAACCCTGTCGCTTATTTCAGAACCTTTACTAGGCACGAGCGGAAGCACCAGCTCTTCACCATGGCCAGTACAGGCCCCTGCCAGCTGACTTCCAATCCCGTCCTCTTCCTGTGGCCCAGCCAAGCAGCAACGGCTACCCTCTGAAACACCTTGCAGAGCTGCCGGCTTTCCTCCTTCCTCGTCTAAGGTGAAGGTCTTGCCTCTGCCTCAGCTTCGACCCCCTTCATCCTCCTTGCCCACTGGAAATAGTATCTGTCATGCAAAGTGCAGCCGGAACAACCACCACCTCCAGGTAAGGCTTTCCTGATAGTGCTTAGACATGCTCTTGCATTCTAGTGGTCCCCAGGGGACCTTCCTCACATTTCTACTGTACAATTGAATGTAAACTATCTTGTGGTAGAACCAAACATATCTGCAGTATTTTCCCTGCCAGAATGTCCCCTTTGCAAATAGGACTAGGTAGCATTCATTCCTCCACAGCCTCACTAGTCACAGACAACACAGAACTGAAATAAACCTGATTTAGGAAATGGCTGGTCATGTTGACTTGACTACCAGGAATTGTTTTTCTAAAAGCAGTGTGAAGAGTTGATCGATGTTTATGTATGAGTATATCTCATACTGTTTTGGAGACTGATTTCAACTTTTGTTTGCGAGACAGAGACTAACACGGAGCCACCAGCTGACTCCTCCAAGGCTTACAACAGCCAGGGCTAGAGCTGAGAGCTGGGAATTTCAGCCAGGTCTGCCCTGTCCGTGGCAGGCTCCCAATTACTTCACCCAGCACCACTGCTTGCCATGGTCAGCACTGCAGGAAACTAGCCTCGGGGGCAGGAGCTGGAACAGCACCCCAAGCCTGCTGCCCTAGGATTGGCATCTGAGCTTAGGCAAAATGCCTGCCTCTCCATTTGATTAAGGATGATTTCTAGTGCACAAAACTTAGAATATACAATTCTCCAAAACTTTGATCAATTCAGCTCATGTTTGTTGTTGTTGTTCTACTCTGTCACTTTAATGACTTCCAAAAGGAGGAAACAAAAATACCGGCACAGATATGAAGAAATTTTAGCGCACCATTTCTCAAGTCAACAGGCCTGAGAAAGCAACTTCTCTCTGGATGACTTACAGGGCAGCAACATGGAATTCCTGGTTCATAATATTCCAAAACATTCATTCCACTTACTTCCATATCATGATTTTCTACTAGACCTGAGTCCATTTTGAAAAAAGTCATCATTATAGAACTGTCGTGCGGAACGCATGAGGGTGAGGCTGCAGAGGAAAAAGGCTGATTGCAGCCGTGATAAGCTGATGGTACCGAGGGGGGACTGCGATTACTGTTCCAGTGGAGACTTGAAAACTTCAAAGAGTGAAAGGTAAGATGAATTGTCACCAGGAAAACACACGTGTGGCATGGCAAAGCAGGCCGCAGAACACAGGAGTACCAGCCACCTAGGTGCTGCTGCTACGAGGCTCCCAGGTATCAGGCCTCAGGCACCTAGGAGCGCTCTACCTTGCACACTCCAGCAGGGAAGGGACCTACGCTGTTTGGAAAGGAGTGAGCCATATTTACTAACCACACCCATATCCACATCCTGCTGGGAGATGCAATACAATGAGGGAAAGAGCAGATGACAGGCTGCAGGCAGTTTTCACAGAGGAAGCACTTGACAACCTTAGGATACTAAGGAAAGCCCTGGAATTTACCAGGCTGTGGGCCAGAGGAAAGGCATATTTCGTGAGGATTTCAAACATATCTCGTCTGCTGTGACCTTCCTGTTTCAAGGCGAATCTCAGGTTTCTCATGTCCTAGAGGGCAAAAGAGAAATGCAACAGTTTACTTTTTCAATGAAGTCACATTATTTAGCAAAAAAACCCATGCAATTGAGTAGAAGATTCACTTACCTAAAAGGCAATTAATCTAGATTACTAAGAAAATGGTTTTCTTTTCTTGAAATATCCATTTTAAGAATAATTAAAAATACCCCATTTTAATCATTTATGCAAAAATGAGACAAAGCAACTAGTACTAAGGAGAAGAGAGAGTTAAAAATCCTTCCATGAAAACAAAAACAATTAAATTTTGCCTTACATGTTTTGTCTAATTACTTCCGCTTGCTTTTAAGGGACCTTTACTTGATCGAACAGTATTTTATTCAAACAGCACATCAAAGGAGTGCCTATCATTGAAGATAATCTCAACATTGTCATACATATCATTAAAATAGACAATCCTTAAATGGCATTTTAAGCTGTCACACAAGTAGCATAATATGTATTTACTATACAATTTTACTTTCAGAGTACTTCATGAACTCTATTGAAGTACTGCACATTAGTACGACTTCATTTTCAGGATCTAAAAATGAACTGAAACCAGAATTTCCAGAGTAGTTCACAATACAAATATCTTTCATAAAAGTGAGTCCTATTGTCAAGGACGGAGGGTTTTTGAAGGCTCTCTTACATCAATCACAGGGCATATCTGACAGACTGACAGCTAAGTCCTGGAAATGTTACTCCCTGGAGCACTGCCAGGGTTGGATGCAAGGACCACCTTAGGAGAAAGGTGGATCTAGTCCCTGTCCTTTTAGACATCACAATACTATTTTCCAAAAATGCTTTTTCATCAGTCATTGGTCTGGAGCACCAGCAAACACCCTGACACGTGTGAGACATCCCAACATGTGAACAGCGGCACGCCAAATCTGAAGCGCTAGACTTCAAGAGCTGTACTGAGTGACCCCAAATCAAGCAGTGTGTACACAAGATGGCATCTACTGGTTTTATCAGCTCCAGAATGGTGTACCTCTATTTTTAAAAGCATATGATTTGGGATTCATGGGTTAAAACAAAACAAAACAAAACTCCTGCTTGCAATGCTGAGATCCTACATGATCACTATTCAAGTCCTGGCTGCTCCACTTCTGATCCAGCTCCCTGCTAATGCACCTGAGAAAGCAGAAGGTAACACAAGGATCTGGGTTGCTATCATCCATGTGGGAGACCAAGATGAAGTTCCTAGTTCGTGGCTTGACCTAGCCCAGTTCCAGCTATCGTGGCCATTTGAGAAGTGAACCAACAGAAGATTTCTCTCAGTCACTCGGCCTTTCATAAAAATAACCTTGGTTTTTTTTAAAAGGGCATGTAACTGAATAAAATCCAACAACTAATTCCTACCTCAAAAATTTGGGGTATTAGTTACTTGTTTGTGATACAAAGCAAAAAGGAATGAAACACATTACTACATCGCCAAGGAACCTCAGGACCCCAAGGACCTGTGAGGAAATTTCTTCCTAACACAGAATATCAGATGGTAATTCCGTAACACCATTCATTAACTCCTACCAAGAAATGTTTATTTCTGCCAATCAATATTTATTCTGATCTATACATGACTCAAAATAACCAATTTTAATGTTCCAAAAATTGAGTGATTCAAGTAACTTCTTTTGACCATCTGACACAGATGCAAGTAAAAATAATACTTTTTGCAAATAGAAAAGTGAAATGGAAAAGGCAGATGAGTCACAGAAGGTATATGAGCAAATTAGCAACAGAAATAGGAGCACAAACTAACTGGTAAGTCCCACCTGGTCTCCTGTGAGTTGGGCTTGTCCAGAAAGGTTACTGGGAAAAATCCTTGTGGCTTACGTCTCCCGGGCAGGCCCCTGACTTACTTAACAATTGGCTCTCACAGCAATGCTACAAGCAATGCTGCAAGAGGCAGAGTGAGTGAAGCATCATATCTGTAAGGTATTTCTAAAGAGCACATATTATTGTGGACTTCAAAATGCTATGTTGCCCATAAACAGTGTAAAAAAGGAGTGTTGGAGGGGAAGAGGAGCGAAGGCTTTGAAGCACTATTGCTTTGTTCTGCTTTTTTTCCTACAAGGATTCTAAATGGTCAGCAGCAACTAATTTGGGATCCACAGGGAAGAATTCTCATATTGAGAGTGAACTTCTCTGCTGCCAGGCTTGTCTTCAATGTGTGGATGTTGTTACTGGCAAGGGAAATCCCCACATGCACGGCTGGAACAGCCAAATTTCCAGGGTGTTCTTTCTACTTGTTTCAAGAGAAAAATGCAGTTGGGTTACAGTTACGGATTGAAGGTGTAAGCAGACTTCTAGAATGATCTCCAGAACAAACAATTCTCTGTGGATTCATAACAGATCCATGACTGAGAAAATGGAATACAACTCCCACAGCATCTTCCCAGAGTTTCTTGGGAGATTGCTAGATTGAAAGGTTGTGCTATAGCACTTTTATAGGCCATCATCTTTGGACTCATTAGAATCCAAAGAATGGGCCTGGTGCAATAGAACAGTGACTAAATCCTTGCCTTGCATGTGCCAGGATCCCATACGGGCGCCGGTTCTAATCCTGGCCGCTCCACTTCCCAACAGCCCCCTGCTTATGGCCTGGGAAAGCAGTCGAGGACTGCTCAAAGCCTTGGGACCCTGCACCAGTGTAGGAGACCCGAAAGAGCTCCTAGCTTCAGATAGGCTGTTTAGCTACTTGGGGAGTGAATCAGCAGACAGAGCTTTCTGTCAGTTTCTTCTTCTGTCTGTAAATCTGACTTTCCAATAAAAACAAATCTTAAAAGCAACAACAAAAGAAGAATCCCCCAAAATATGCATTATTATGTCTGGAAAAGAATTTTGCCTAGTAAGGCAGCCCTAAACCTTCTTTTCTTATAATAAATAGTCAAATGGTGGCATGTGTTTTGTTTTGCCAGTTATGGGGGATTAGTATTTACAAATACAAGCTTTTTTTCCCTATTGATAAAGCAACAACCAGGGTTTTTAAAAACCTCATTCAAATGAGTCACTTGAAAATTAAAAGCAACATGGGAGGGGCAAGGTGAATTTGACCTCGGGGCTTGTGGAAAAGGAGCTCTCAGCAGCGTGGTGGCTGCTGGAGGTACCTGAGACAGGTCGGACTCAGTGCTTGGGGCCATAGCCAACATTGCCAAGCGGTGAGTGAATCCTGAGCTTGCCCAGGCCCTAGAGTTTCCTCTCTGAATGGTAATTACACCATGGTCCCTGGCTCTGCCCACCACCACCATCTTGTGGCGGGAAGCGTCTAGGGGAGTTCGACCTTGGGGCTTGGGTGGTGGGAGCTCCCAGCAGCAAGGTGGTTGCTGGGGGTACCTGAGTCAGGTCGAACTCAATACTTGGGGCCTTAGCCCCAGCCACCTCTGCCAAGTGAATCCTGGGCTTGCAGGCTGCCAGCTGCAAGCTCTGGGGTTCAGGGGGTGTGAATTATTGCCTAGGGACATCCATGGATAAGGCCACTGTACATGTAGGTGAAGAATGAATCTTGAGGGACTCCCAATGACAGGGCCACTGTACTTACAGGTAAATGAGGATACTGAGACCTGGTGGTTTGGAGGGGAGAGACCAAAGGATCTGTATGGGTCAGACTGATACACCAGCCTACATGGGAGACCTGAGCTGGGCTTGTTTAGCATGTAACACTGCTGAAAAGCAAACAAGCCCACGTGAAAGCTAGGGCTGGGGACCTGTCTAGCAGGGCTAGATCCCAGTACCTAACTGAATGTTGGACATCCACTGGTTGTGTAGAAGACAGAGCTGGAGACAAAGTGACCCAGCAATTGTAACCACTAGCATATGCATAGGCTGACTGGGGCAACGGTCTGTGCTGGACTCTGTATTGACAAACACACACAAGAATCAGGTCTGGGTTCACCTCAGATGAAGTTTCTTTGGGGATCCCCGCAGCTGAATTGCTGGACTCAGAACCCCAACCATTGAGAGAATTGCAGATTCCACAGTCTGACTGTGGACTGCATGTCTGGGTACACATGGAGGATATGGCAGTCCATTGGAGTCTGCAGAGGACATCTGGTACCACAACAGAGGATGGATGACACAACAAATGGATAAACTGCCCCAGACAAGCGATGGCAGTGAGTATCTGGGCAAGCGGACTCTAAGGTGCACTATGTCAGCTAGTGGATTCTGGAGAGATTTCATCATGCTCGGAGTGGCGAGCTCAGCAGTAATTTAGAACTGTTGAACTATCGAAACCTCATGAGCAGGACCCTCAGAGCATGCCCCACTTTGGGGACCCTGGGGTGGTGTCAGGAGTCTGTCCTTCCCAGGATACAGAGGCGTTTGGGAGGCTGGGTGTGGCTTCTCCCCTTATCTCACTCCTTCCCCCAGATACAGGAAGGAAAAAAAGAGAATGCGGAAATGGTGATCTCACCCACCTTCCTGTAGCCCTTGACCCTTATCACCCTAATCAACTATGCAAAAATCATCAAAAATAAAAATAAAAACATTTATTAAAAAAAAAGAAAATTAAAAGCAACAGCTTCATTTCCCTTTAATACTGTAATATCCTATTCCCATTAATCCTTTCACACAAAATATAAAACCCATCCTCAAATGTAAGCCTCCAGTGCTCTAGGCCCACTTCATCAACAGGACCAACAGAGAAAGCATTAAGGTAACTCATATGGAAACCAAAGCTGAAAAAAAAAAAGGTAGCAGTACACAAGAATTTCAACTCAAGTTTAAAATGATGTAATCCTTTGGATTTTGATAGAGTGCCTCAGCTTTGAACTTTAATAAACTGGAGGGGAAAACACTACACTGTACTCAGGACCCAAATATACAGATTAGGCTTTAAGAATCAATGTCTGCGACCAGGACAAGAAGATGGGCTTTAATTTTGTGGTTTTCAATGGCTTCTTGGGTAGCCCATTGCAAGCCACCTTGTTCAGCAAAGGCCTTGTATCCTCTTCCGTAGGATGAAGGATTTGGGCTGGCCAGGTGTCAGCAGACTGCAGCACAGGTCAATTTCTGTATGGTCTTTCCTCAAGCCAAGAACATTTTTACATTTTTTTTACAAATTGAAAAAGAAAAAGAAACACCAAAAGATGTGGATATGTGACAGAAATCCAGCGTGGCCCTAAGACCCCAAACATTTGCTATCTTGTCCTTTACAGCAAAGTATGCTGCCACCTGCCCTGGACGGACACTTAAGGAATCTGGAAACAGCCCAGTCTCCTAGTTCTCAGCCTTTGGTGACTGTGGAACCTGAAGATCTGCACTGGAAAGCTTGCACAGACAATCTCTGAAGAATGCCTAGGTTCCGGAAACCTGGAACCGATAACCTCCACTCCTAGATTGCAGCCTTCTCTTGTTCAGAACCCAGACAGCAGGTTTCCTTGCCAGCAGGCTGTGTTGATTACCTCACTGTATTTGGGTTCTACCTTTGCCATTTCTGGGTAATCTTAGCCAAATTGCATAATTCTTCTAAGCCTCAGGTACTCCATATATAACGTGTTCATTGCAGAGGCTGTGGTCACCACCAATTAAACACATAGGAGTTAGCCTGTGTTTGAAATGTTTCTTTTTCATCTAGTTAAAAGGTAGAGTGACAGGAAGGAGAAGGAGGAAAGGAGGGAGGGAGGGAGGGAAAGAGAATCTGTTGTTTCAGTCCCCAAATGTCAAAAAAAGCCTGGGCAGGGCTAGGTTGGAGCCAACAGCTGGAAATTCCATTGCATTTGGACAACACATGTGGGTGGCCATGGCCCCAGCACTTGGGCCAACATCTGCTGCCTCTCAGGACACTTCAGCAGAAAGGTGAACTGGAAGCACGGCAGTCAGGACTCAAACTGGCACTCCAATACGGGATGAGTGCCAAGCAGTGCCTTAAGCCTCTGTGCCACAATGCCCAGATATACAGTAAATATACCCAGTTACTGCCATCACAGATTACATTTTAGCATTATTAATTTCCTTCCCTTTATTGCCTTAAAACAAGTGTTATACCACTACCTCTGAAAAATAATCCAAAGTTACAGATTTTAGGACATATACTGTTCACAGAACACAAGAATACTTCCTTTTATGGTATGAAGGTGCCTAGTTAGTAACACAGGGCATGAAATATTCAGCAAACTGAAACAAAAAATAAAATAATTAAGAAAATTTAAGTTTTCTTCTTGCAGAGTCATTCTAACAAACTGAGCAGTTCCTTGAGTCCTCAGCATTTGGGGACTAGAGTGAGTCTCCTGTGTGGAAACTGCTTTCCCAGGTGCCTTTGTAAAACCTGAACTGAAGGCAGGAACCATTTTCAGGGTCTTTGGTAGACAAGTTGTTTGATTTTTTTTTCAAACCCAGATTAATTCTCAACATTCAACACTAACATGCCTTGTTCGCTGTGTAAGAAAGTCATGAATCTCTTACTTTACAAGTAATATCTAGACCATAGGAGTTTTCTCCTCTACTTGTTGCTCCTCCCATTTTTTCAATTCTTGATATGACACCAAGAGGCACATCAAATATTAGAGTGGAATCCTGCAATGTACAAGAATACAAAAGTCAGTATTTCTGTTGGTATAATCAAAATATCAAAAACATATAAATAACCATTTGCTTTCGGGGTGTTTTTACCTTGGCCCCTTTACCAAGTTTATGAGCAAAAATATGCTAGAAACTACACAAGAAAGGGCAAGCACTCAAACAGTCAAAAGTATAATGAAAATGCGTCCCCAGATATCTGCCACTGTGCACTGCCTAGAGCTTAAGAACTAAACTAGTAGTTACCCAATGCCAGGACACCAAGAAAAGCCACAGCCTTCTCTGTAGGCTTCTTTTCCACATCAGCCTGTGTTGCCACAAAGCGAATTCCTTCACCATTCTTCAAGCACTTCAGCTACATTCAGGCCATGCACTTTGCTCAAAGTAGCCTTCGCCTAGAATGATCTTTTCCAACTACCAAAATTCTCCCCACATCTTCGGGCCTGCTTCCATAAACAGCATTTCTAATAAGGCCTTGCTTTCAGATTAGAGCAGGCCGAATGAGTCACATCTGTTCTAGCACTGGCTTCTCTCTGTGTTATTACTGTGAGGTTACATGTCTCAATCCTTGATACAGTCCTAGAATCCGGAAGTGCTGCTTGTCTTGGGCAGAAGAGCCTAAATGTACACCAGCAATGCCCCTCCGCTGCTGGCTAGCCAAAGTGGGGGCGAGTGGTCCGGAGCAGTGGCAGCGTGGTGGCACCATGCTAGGGAGATGATACCACAAGCATCGCAGCAAGGAAATTAGCAGTAGCTGCCACATAGGAACGCCTCATGCAGGCCAGCTGCTACAGCAAGGGCTTTCTTTGCATGCACTGCACTCTTGTTTCCTCCAAATCACTCCAGGATGCAGGAGAACTATCCTTGTTTCCCAATGTGGCAACCAAAGCTTTGAGAAGTTTCAGTAACTTGCTTAGTAAATGCAGGGCTGGGGTTGACTTTTAAGCCAACAGCTGGCAACTGACATCAAAAAGGCCATAAAAAATAGTTTTACTCTTTGATCTAATCATTTCCTTCCCAAGAACTTACAGTTATCATTCAACAGGAAGAAAGAGCTACATGCATAAAAGTGTTCAGTGGAATCAGAGGCCGAGAAAATCAACTTGGTAGAACGGGCATGCAGCTATTAAAATAATATGGACATGGAAAAGCAAATTTAAATGAAACTAATCAGCATATAAAATAATATAGTTACAAAATAGATCCAAAAGATGGAGGGCTATGCAAGTTTTCATGCAGATTCCTTCTAATATTATATTAGATGACTGGTGATAAAGAAAAATTTTAAATGCTCATTTGTCAAATACTCAGGTTTTTAAAACTTTTACATTCTTAAAATCAAAAGATAAAATAAGGACTGCCTCATAAAACATAATACAGCTCATGAGATTATTTAGAAATTCAAAATGGCTAAGACTGTGTGCCATACCACGGAGTACTGCTCTGCGATGCAATGATTACACGTAGCCTCAAAGAACACCTCAAGGGCATGCTGTACTGATTCCTTTAAAGAACATTCTTAAAGGTTTGTGGGTGTGAGAAGAAAACTGACAGAGACAGGAGAACGAGGCAATCTCCCATCCACTAGTCCACTCCCTAAATGTTTGCAACAGCTAGTGCCGGGCTAGGCTGAGGCCAGGAGCTAGAAGCTCCATCCAAGGCTCTGCCAGGGGCGGCAGGGGCCAAGTATGGAAAAGGCAAGTACCTTATTAAATGACTGAAACTGAAATGTGCAGAACGTACCTACCACTCAGTATCACTATACAAGTAAGTGGTGAACTTCACACAGTTCACAAAAAAGAGAAATCGATTTAGGCACAGACATGTTTGAACTCAGGCACAGTCTTTTCATAACCCACATTTTTGAGGAATTTTTTGAAAGGCCCTTATGTAGCTGCATATGTGTGCTATATCATCAATACAGTCTGCTTATTAAAAATATACTGTCAAGGGCCCAGAGCAGTAGGCTAGTCGCTAAAGTTTTTGCCTTGAATGTGCTGAGATCCGATATGGGTGCCAGTTCTAATCCCAGCAGCCCTGCTTCCTTTCTAGCTCCCTGTTTGTGGCCTGGGAAAACAGTTAAAGACGGCCCAAAGCCTTGGGACCCTGCACGTGTGGGAAAACCGGAAGAAGCTCTGTGCTCCTGGCTTCAGATCAGCTTAGCCTCAACCGCTGCAGCCACTTGGGGAGTGAATCAGTGGAAGAAAGATCTTCCTCTCTGTCTCTTTTTCCCTCTCTATATCTGCCTTTCCAATAAAAATTTTAAAAATCTTTAAAAGATATATATATACATTATATATCTTGATATATATCAAGAACTCTTCTGGTACACTTAAGATTATATACTAAAATTCATGAATGTCTGTGAAATATATTTCTAAATGTTAAATTTTTTATATAACACCCAGAGTAGATTACATGAAAGTCTGATACTACAACATCAAGAATGAAGCAAAATGCTAACAAACAAGAAAGAAGAATGAAAAGTGGTATGAACCTTACTGCTCTACAACTATGTAGAGGAAATCCTACAGCTTGGTGGATGCCTTGGCCAGGCACATAATAGAAATGGGATGGTAAGAGAAACTAGGTAGCCCCTGATCAAAGGAACTGACAATACAAGAGGCTACTGTCATGTTCTCCCTGAATGATATGTTCAAGATCCCATAATTCAGCACACCAAACCAGAAGACTCAGGGATAGAATTAGATTAGCTAGAGTTATTAGTATATAAATGTCATTACATATTTAAGGATTTTCAAAGGTCTACTTTAACTCAAAATTCTGTATCCCTGTACCTGTAAGTAAAGTAGTTGAGAAGCAAACATTCCAAACAAGCTAAAATACTGCAATAACTATTTGTCTTGAATATATACTAAAAACCAAGAATTGTACTTACGTGTGTCCTTACGTGACACATAGCCTGGCTCTATCTGAAATATAAGGCACATGTGCCCAAGTAGTCAGGCTACCACATACAAGTGCCTACAGTCATAAGCAAAGTCCAAACTGGGAAGTCAGGGAAGAGTAAGTTGACATCTTTTTTATTGGATTCCATGAAGATTCTATGGCAACACCCACATCAAACGATGGTGGCTGGAGTTTGGTCTTCCATAAACAGGTAACTGGTCACAAGAGTTGCACACATGGGAGAGTAAGGGGAGTAAAAAACAACAACGATGACCACTACATTGACTAAGCTAGGGTGATGGCCAAACCCTAGGGAACACTGTAGGGCTAGGATTCAGGTGACACATTCCTGGAATGCCACAATGAACTAGTGCACTATGAAGATTCATCCAGTGGCACTGAGCACCTGAACTGGAAAGGAGAGGGATACCTCCACATTGCAACCATGGAAGCTAATGCTTGAGTATAAGTGAGAGGCTGGAAGGATGTGCACATGCTGAGTGACCAAGGCAGAAAGCTGAGAAGGCAATTAGCACTCAGGAAGAATCTGGGATGACTCAGCTCTCTGGGATGGCAGATGGTAGTAACAGCAACAGACATGAAGAGCACAGAAAGGGATTTTGGAGAAAGAGCAGCGTGGGCCATTTTAGGTATGTTGGCTTTGACATATGATAAATTAACCATGTCTAGATATTGGAGAGGTAGCTGCAAGCACAAAAGTAGAAGACACTGTAAGGAATCTCCCAGAGAAAACATTTAGAACTAAACGCACGGTTTTTGTCTTTGCAAAATAGCTCCAGCTCGGAGGTTTGCTGCCTTAGTGGCCGGCATTCCTGCTCACTATGAAAGTGGGAAACCCAAGAGCCAGCCTTGACATTATCTTCTCTGCCATCCAGAATCAATGACAACCTGTTAAATCAACCTCTAATCTGACAACCTCTTTCCAGCTCTACCAGCAGCTTCGCTGGGCTGATCTCTGCATTCTCTGATGCTCCCCTCACAACCTGCCCTCCACAGAGCCAGGGCCATCTTTGAGAGAAGCACATCAAGTAATCTCATAGCACTGCTTACATCATGGAAAAGCTTTTCAATACTAAAGTCCAAAAGTCGTAATATTAGAGGAAAGTGGGAAGATGTTGGTCAGGGGATACAGAATTTTCAGTTATACAGGAGATCTTTGGTACACCTTGGTGGCTGTAATTAATAAAAATGTATTATATTAATGGAAAGTGCTAAAAGAGTAGATTGTAAGTATTCTACCCACAAAACAATGATGTGTGTAAGGTGATCTATTACATGATGGATACACATGTTAAAACATGCTGTATATAACAGACAGAGCAGGTGAGCCCTGTATTATCTGACCACAACTCACTTGTCCTGCCTCTCTCTTGCTATTCTTCCCCACCTCCCATGCCACACTGTTGTCTCTTCATATTCCCTAGTTTCAGTCCTCTCCCAGCTTCTTCCTACCACACAAGCCCTTGCCTTGCATCCAGGTAACTCAAAGTCAGTTTTCAGACCAAGATCACGGATCATTTTATCTTGACAATCTCCTAGGCTACTCAAGCTTTCACACTTATGCATTACTTCTATGTGTAATCATCTGAATAATGTCCATTAATCCCTTCGGAATCATAAGCTTCATGCAAGAGAAACTATGTCTGCTGTACTCCTCACTACATTTTAGCATCCAGCACTGTTCCTGATACACAGCAGGTGCCCAAATACCTGATGAACAAAGAATGAAAGATCAGCACTACAGTATAACATTGGAAGAGAACTAAAAACATGAAGAGGGTCAAAACAAAACTCTAGAGAAAGTACATATTGGGGAGGTACGGATGTAAACATCAGCTGTATAGAAGGCAAAGGGGAGAAGTAGGAGAAAAGAGCCAGGACTTATACAAGAGTAGTCAACAGTATCAAACACTGTGGAGAAGCTAAAAAGTCAAGGACTCAACAAGGCCATTGAAATTGGGCAGTGAAAGAGTAGTTGCAATAGGGGAAGTTGTACCATAAGAAGTTAAGGAGTCAACAGTTCAGAAGAGGAAGCAGAATGCAAGGGCTATAATATAAAGAAATTT